GTGTGTGTGTGTGTGTGTGTGTGTGTGAGTGTAAATATCTCTCACCATTTCTGTCAGCCTATCAAATGAGCCCATGCTGTGGTCCGCTCCCTTTTATGGGGCGGTACTGCTCTGTCGCCGTTGTTAACATCGGAACATGTATTTCTTTTTAGAATAGTGCTGAAAAAATCGCTGTTTATTTTTTAAGTCTTTTTTTTTTTTACAAAACCGACACAGACAACATCAGGGAAAATCACCACTTGATCTAAGATGTGGAAGGAGGGAGACAAGAGGTTATGAGGATTAGGAAGGAAGGAAGAGGAGGGGGGGGGGACGAGACAAAGAGATTAAAAATACTGTTAAAAATAGTAGTTGTGATATGGGGTGTGCGATTGTCAGAGGGTGGGGACTATGTCTAGGCCGCTGGGTAGGGGGGGGGGGATCAGATGGTATTTTCCCCATTCTTTCTGTCAGGCACAACAAGCACATAACAGGGATATCAGTCCTGAAGATAACCAAGATGGGCATCGTTCTGAAACGTAGGGTTTACGAACATCATGTCCGATCCGGCTTTGTGTGGTAACCCCCGACGCGCGACGGAGTCATTCGTCTTTCCGTTTTTCTGCCCTCCATTTTTTGTCCCATTCTTCACCTCGGGACTTCCGTTTTGAGCTGCGGCCGAGACTTCATAGCGTTTGCCGTTCATATGTGGTCCCTTACTGGCGTCGTCGCTGTCTGTGTGCGCTTGTGGACCAACAAAAGAGAGGATGACAGGGATCAGCAAAACGGCGTGAGCCGTGCCGAAACCAATGACTAAAAGCATTATTTTGCAGAAGGATTGGAAAATGTACGACTCGGTGAAAACGAGAACGATGACACCGATGAGAGAGGACATTCCACCGTTGAGGATGGGTCCAGAGGCGTGAACTATAGCCTCTTTGGCACGCTCTCGCCGAGAGTATTCCTCAGATACCATGTAGGCCGTACAGACGTGGGCGCTGAAGAGAACGAGGGGGAAAACGTGTTTTAAAAGTTTGCCCGGTGGAATGGGAACAGAGTAAAAATAAGATTTGATTTGAGACAGTCGACAAATGTCTGTGGTGTTTTTCTTTTTGTTTGATGACTGCTTACACTGCCTCCCT